AGAAAGAATGATTCCTAGCCTTAGTCAAAAGACCCTACCCGCTCTGAAAGAGGCAGGAGCTGATCAGGGTGGTGAACACCTGTGATCACAACACCAGGGAATCTGAACTAAGAGGACTACCATGAGTTTCAGGCCAGCTTTGGCTACATGGTGAGCTCAACACTAGCCTGGGATACAGAGTAAGACCCCATCTAAAAAAATTAAAAAGTAGAGGTAAAAGCAAAACAAAACAGAAAAGCAGAGTAATGAAGTCAGGTGTGGTATTGCATGATATCAATTCTGGCATTCTGGAGACTGAGGACACACACGCACACATACACACAGGAGGAGCACTAGTCAAGGAGTGTAAGTGGCCTTTAGATGGTAGAAAAGGTAAGGAATAAACTTGTTCCCCGGGTCATCCAGAGGAAACACACACTAGACAACAAACACATTGATTTTAGTCCACTGAAACTTGCATGAGATTTCCAACCTATGGAACCAGACAGCAGCACATTTTTGCTATTTAAGCCACCAAAGCTATGGTCATTTATTACAATAGCAAGGCAGATGTGCCCCATAAGGTGGAATGCAGCCCAGCTTGTGGTCAGTGTGCAGAATGGAGACAGAAGCCTGGTGTCTGGGTCCTCAGTGCTGGGCATGAGTGACAGGGCTGAGAAGACAGCACAAAGAAGAGGTCTTCAGATTATCCTTGAAGTCTTAGAGCTTAGTCAGGGAAGAAGGAAAAGGATGCTTCAGACAAGGAAAGAGACACTTAAGGCAACACTGCAGTATGTTTGAATATCAATTTTCTGTAGGAGTGAAGCTCTGAAAAGCTTGAAAAAGGAATATAAATATGTTTGTTCCTGTCAAAATTTCAACATATTCTGAAATCCTTTGACTTTTCCAACAGCACATGGTGACTAATACATCCTTTTTAATGTGTTGCTGGACTTTTGGGAAATAAGAAATACTCAAAGCCCTTAACTTTATCACCACCACCACAACAACAAAAAAAGGGGGAAGAGCCATTCATTACCTTCATGTTCAAGCTCAAGCCTTCATGTCAAGGACAACTGAAGAAGGTTGAGCAAAAAATAATTGAGGTTACTCAGAAATCACCGAGGAGCTAACAGGATGGAAAGATCATCAGGCATGGGAAGGAATGTAGAGAAGTGATGCCAATGCTTAAAAACTTTTGGTCCTAGGAAGTCATCTACCCACGAAAGACATCCAAGAAGCACAAATAAAGGTGGGGTAATTTCACTACATTAATATTAAATTTCAGAAACATAAATTACAGAAAACATAGAAGGGAGGAAAGGAGGGATAGAGGGAAGGTGGGAGGGAGGAAGGACAGACTATCAACATGCTAGCAATATGAACACCAAGCAAAAATTAGAACTCAAAATATATAAGGAATCCAATAACTCAATAAAGAAGAAAATACAATCTAATAAAAAAAACCTCCTCGATTTTACAAAAGCAGCAGCACAGACAGTAAATAAGCATGTTGAGGTATTACCAACACCATATTAAAATGGGATATCATATTATACTCATCTTAGAAACATGAAGGATCTCCCCCTAGGGTCTACAACCTGTCTAGCCACAGGTTCTTGGCCCCAATAGTAATGCCAGATATGGCTCTATCTTGTGAAGCTGGCTTTAAATCCAATCAGGAAGTGTTTGGTTACTCCCATAACATTCATGCCACTACTGCACCAGTGGGCATGTCTTGCCAGGCCAGTCATTATTGTAGCTCACTATGTTCACAGCTGGGTAAGACTGATGATTGCTTTTCACTTCCAGTAGGCTGCATTGTTGCAAACCACCTCATGAAGAGTTAATACATCTTGCGACTTGATAGCTTATGTTCAATGAAAGGACAAAAGAACTCTATGTTATGCCTGAAAGCAGTGTACCCAAAAGGTAAACCTCTGGGTCAAAAAACATGTATTCTTAAGTTTCTGAAAATACTCTGGTTAGGCTGAAGCTATTCCAAGAAGGAAATATTTCTGACAACACCTAAGTTTAGTTAGAGGCCACTTTGTCTGATAACATGTATATACATGGTCTTCATTAACTTGTTATTGGTATATCTTATGTGTTCTTGGCAGGATGTTTCATATAAACTCAATTCACCCATTATTTCAGTCCTGAATAAAAGCTTGGGACTGAGAAGTATCTGCATCTGTGGACCATGAGTCTCAGATCTTCTGTTTAAAACTTCTTCCGTGTCTTTCCATCCTTTTGAGTTTCTGCTCACTAGACTACTAAAATGCATAGCACTATGAAAGCTAGCCAGTAGGGATAAAGCTTTGAGGTTAATATCAGCTTGATTTTTCCATGTTCTATATCTCAAGTATGTAGTGTCTTCAGCAATAGTATTTTACTGTCAAGTTCTAGAGGCTTACCAAAAATAATGGCAATAGCCTATAATATTGGGAGTCTGTGGGAATATCTCCACAACCAACAACTCCAAAAGAGGAAACTCATTTCTGACACTGGGCTTTTTATTTGCTAGCCTATGGAGCCTGGTAAGGGCATGTCCCTATTATAGAGTAAATCTATTTAAACTATATATATATATATATATATATATATATATATAAAGCTTTCTTTTTTCAAATATTTCATTTATTATTTTTATTTTGTGAGTATGAATGTATCGCCCGCATGTAGATGGGTACACCCATCCATGTTGTACATTGCCCATGGAGATCAGAAGAGGGCGTTGGAGTCCCTGGAACTAGAGTTATAGATGGTTGTTAGCCGCTATATGGGTGCTGGGAACCGAACTCAAGTCCTCTGTAAGAGCAGTCAGTGCTCTCAACCACTGAGCCATCTTTCCAGCTCCATATAAATGTAGCTTTCTACAATAACAGGTTTTCATGAGTTTTTCAAAAGAACTTTACTATAGTTATCCTTCCCATACTCCCTCTTCTGCCCTGCCCTCCTATGCTCCACTCCATTTAACTCTTCCTATTCCATTATTCCCCTTTCTTTCTTTTTAAAATATATATTTTTTATTTTATGTGTATGAGTGTTCACCTGTATGTATGTAAGTGCACCACATGCATGCAATGTCCACAGAGGCCAAAAAAGGGAGTTGGATCCCCTGGAACTAGGGATATGGATGGTTGTTAGCCTCTATGTGGGTGCTGGGAACTGCACCCAAGTTCTTTGCAGGAGCAACCAGTGCTCTTAACCCTGAACCATCTCTCCAACCCCTGTTCTTTCTTTATATCACCTCACTCTATCTCCCCTCCCTTGAAAGCCATATCATGTCCCCTTGCTAGTTTCCTGATCTCTATGTGTTTCCAAATGAAACACACATATCTAAAGATTTAAAGCTAGCATCCACATGTAAGAGAAAACATGCAAAATTTGTCATTTTATATCCAGTTACCTCACTCAGCATGATTGCATCCAGATCCATGCATTTAACTGTGAATTTAACAATTTCATTTTTCTTAACAGCTAAATAATATTGCATTTTGTAAATGTACCAGACTTTCATTATTCATTCATTAACTGATGGGCACGTAGGTTGTTTCCATTTCCTGACTACTGTGAATAAAGCAGCAATGAACATGGATGAACAGGTATCTCTGTAGTAGGTTATAGAGTCCTTTGGGCATATGCCCAAAAGTGGTATAGCTGGATCATGTGGTAGACATAGTATTAAATTGATTCCTAAGGCCTTCTCATTATATCCATAGATTAGTGCATCTCTCAACTCTCAGCAGAGAAGCTTTTTTGCAGTAAATGATGATTAACACAGAGACCCACAACTGGATAGAGTGCAAATAAAAGACTGTGAGTGCTCAGTCCTAAGTGGGATATCTATATCACATCCCTCCACCCAAGGCTCTGGGATCTCTGCAGAAGAGGAGGAAGAAATTTTTTAAGAGCTAGAGGCAGTAGATGACTACAATGAAAGTATTTTCTGGACAAAACAGGACATTTGCACACATGAACTCACAGTGGTGGCAGCATGCACAAGACCTAGGCAAACTCAAGTCAGACAAAATTCCAGCATGGAGAGGGAGATGAACACAAAGCCCTGCCCCTAGCTGAAAAGCTACTGGAAACTGATAGCTGCGCGGAGAGGGAGAGCCAGTTCTCTTCAAGGGTGACCCCTGGTAGGTTGACCATGCTCCAGGGGATGTACCTACATGCAAGTATATTTTGACAACACAAATTGGACTTGATTGACTTTAAAAAAAAAAAAAAAAGACAGGAATTTGAGGGGTAAGGGGTATGGGTGGATCTGAAGAGAGGAGGGGGGAGTGGAAAATGATAATAATACATTGTATGAATCCTCAAAGAATTAATAAAAACATTATTTTTAAAAATTTAGAAGACAACAGACTCTAGATAGGCTGACTAGGCCTCAGTGGGGAACAGCTTGCACTGGGGAACAGCTGGGGACACTGACAACACAGCAGGCCTTAACAGGTATGACAGAGTATATGGGTTCCGGTGGGGGAGGGTATGGGAGGGTGCCAGTGGGTACAGGGGTATAAACATTATTAAGATTGTTTGAGACTTTCTATACAAAAAACACAAAAATTTCAATAGAAACAAATTTTAAAAAATAATTAAGAAGTCTGACAACAGTAAGTACTGACAAGAACATCAAGCAACAGTAACTCTGATGTACAACTGGTGGGAACTTAAACCAATTCACCTTGGGGAGAAGCTTGGCATGACATATACTAGTTTTGAACATTTATATGCTCTGCATATCAGCAATTTCAGTTGCGGTACATACTCTAGAAAAACTAGTATGTGGATATCCAGAGACACAAATATAAAAGCATTCTTAGAATAGTTGGTGGAACAGTGAAAAAATGAAATAGAAACGGCTCTATTAATTACCACCAGAGAAATGATTAAATACATTATTGCATATTCACACAAATTTTATACAAGTATGACATGAATATGAACATATATTAATAATAATATCATCTAGCAAATTAGACAAGTGCACATTGTAGCAAAAAGTTTTTAAAACACCAACATCTAAATAACAAATTATTTAGGAACGTATTTATATATGGTAAAACATGAATTAAGATGTTGAATGTAAATATTAGGTCACAGACAGCTAGAATACAGGACTATTCTTACAAAGTTATAAGATATCTAAAGCTAAATATATATTATTTAGACATCCATAAAGATGTATATAGTGTTACATGTAAAATTAGGTACAGAAGCCCATCGCAACACAAAGTTCAAAGTGAGATAACTCTGGCATAGAAGGTGGTGAGCAGGGTGCACAGGGGCTTCTACAGAACCAACAGTTTGGTCTGTTCTCTGGGTAAATATATTCACTGCTGTTTTTCTCATTCTGTTCTTAAATTGTCAAGTGTGTTACAGGTATTCTTTATTAGCATGCAATTTTAAAAAAATAAGATGTTAATTATACCACAGAAAACTGTCATATTATTTCTTCTGGCATGGCTATTTTTCCAGATCCCTCTTCTTGAGTTTTGGTGTCGTTTAACTGGAATGAGAGTTGCAAGTCTGAAAGAAGAAGAAAATTTGATGTAGATGATGTGTAAAAACGCCATCTGAGCTCAGAACTAACGATCTTCCCACACTTGATGTCACAAAATTATAACAAAATGATGGACCTTCTCATTCTATTCCCATAACATTGAGTCTTATTCATGTATTTTAAAAGGTAATATAAAAGTTGCTTCATTTAAATGCATAGTTTAAGCATACAATGAAAGCTTTGTTATCAAGCATGCTGGAGGAATGGGGAGTGACAGTTTATAACACAATTCAGTGAATTTAATTAAGATTTATTTCTCCTTACTATCGCTTTGGGGCAAGTATGGCAAAAACCTTAACCACCCTCACTATCCCTACTCCTAGCCTAATATTAATATCAAATATTCTTAAATAGTCTTAGCACTTCCAATTTTCAAACCGAAGTCCTTTCTCACCATCAGCATTTCTCTGAGAGGGGCGTGGAGATGTTCTAATAGTGGTAGCCTAGGCAGGGATGGGGTGTGATCCAAAACCAAGTATATAACAGGAATTAACAGGAATCAGGGTCATACTGAAGGCTGTGAAGCAGGTAGAGCCTGTGTTCTAAAGTTACACAGCTGAGTCCAAATCCCCAGTACTGCCACATTTCAGCTGGGTGAGAATTAGCCAACTACTAACCATGAGTCAGCTTTCTCTGTGTAAACAGTCAATAACCCCTATGTCCTTAGGTGTGGTGTGACAATTCCATTACATTAGGAACTGTCAATACATAGTGTATACTCAAATGTGGTATCTTATTTGCACTGGAATCTTTCTAAACTTTTGACTGAGCAGGGTTAATGTACTTGCTCATCTTTTGGTGCAGATTTCTTGGCATTCCTTTTCACTGTTGAATCGATTTGCTGAGCCATTGCAGCCACTGAACCAAAACCGTGCACAAGAGTTGACCTGTTTGTCATAATACCATCGAACCACATATTCTGCACAGTTTCCAGGCTTCAAGGCTTCCAAACATCTAGGATCTAGGGGGAAAAGGATGTGTCACTAGAGATTTTTCCTCTTACTGAAGACATCAGGTGAAAAACAAAAGCTTTACGAAGTAATGTAAACTCTTATTTTGATGCATACTCACAGACCAATTGAGAAACTATGGTTCTAAATTACTGAAAGGAGTCTGTAATACCTAAAGCACTTCTCCTACCACCTGGAAGTCTGCTACTGCATATTCACTTCTGTGAAAACAAGTCTGATCTTTATGAAACCCCATTAAATTACACATTTTCAAGAAAACATCAGTGATATTTCACTAATTAATGCCTATGTGGGGCAGAGGCAGAAAAAAGATTGTACTTTTTTTTGAAACAAGAATCTCTTTAAGTAGCCCAGGCTGACCTTGAACTTGAAATGTTCCAGCCTCAGCCTTCTGAGGGCTGAAATTATAGGAATGCCCCACCATGTAGAAGCATTGGACTTCTACAATTTGATTTAGATTTAACTTAAAATCAATTTAGCTTGTAATCCTAGCATGTGGAGGCACAAGTTGAAGGAAAATCTGGTTTACATGATAAGACCCTGTATCAAAATATATGTACATAACCTTAATTATTTTGAATGAAAATTACCTCATCCCTTTATATTCATCCCCTTCCAGTTTCTTGAGAGAAAACACTATTATGCTCACATTGAGCCTCCTGGAAAAGGGAAGGCCTTTAAATTGCCCCCAACACACAGACAAAAGAAAGGCTACCCTGATACCACAGTTCTCTTTTTAATAGACCACTGTTGCAGGACACTAAAAAGTACAATATGATCTTCTAATGTCAGTTAAAACAAACTTCTGAAGTGCATCCACTGTAAGGAAATCATAGCCACAATGTACTACTTTAATCAGGGTTTCCCATTTGTTAAATCCTTTTTCATTGTTCAGTGCTGCACAGTGCCTTGATTCATATTTTCTACTTGTAGAAGTGGTTCCAAGGTAAGAAAAGCAAAACGCACACCTAATGCCTGGGACTTATGTTCTGGGAAATGGTTCGTGCATCAAAAGCTCCATTTCTATTGCAAAACCAGTTCTTTCTCCATCACCCTTAATCATTTCCTCAGGTTTGGAGTGTGTCTTGATATATTTCCTAAAACTAATCTCTAAATCTACTTCTCCTGTGATGACTCCTTAGATCAAAGGGAAAAGAAAAGATTTCCACAACTTCTGTTCTTAGGAATTAAATAATTTATATGATGAAACCTATTTTCAAGTCAACCTACATTTCTATTGGACATGGATGTTTCTTTTGCATATATTGCAAAGAAATATGTAGTGATGAATTTTCTCTGTATATTAACTCCATTCAAAATAGATTGCTGAATCAGAATTTCAGTTTCAGTGTTTTCCTCTTTCTTGTACAACCAAGGATCAAAAAGTCAAGTGCCTACATTTGTGAGAGGCTGATGTAAAACAACATAGAGCAGCTGGCACTGTGGTAAACCGGGAAAGCAAAACACTCAGGTTCAAATAAGAGCTTTAACATTTTTATAATCACATTTATTCCCCAGTCAGTCAGTTTTCACATTCTATATGACCCAGTGAGAACTGTTTTTCATCCTCTCTATTAAGAGTCATAACATTTTCTCTTTAGAGAAGATGCTAGAGACTGTATTTTCCTGTGCCTCCCTTACATTGTAGCTATAGCAGCAGCTTGGTAGATGTATCTTACCTTTGTACAGCATATTTTCTGACTGTAAAATCAAACCAGGACTTGGAGTTCTGGTTTCTACTCCCTCAGGGCTGCTGAGCAATGGTTCAAGGGTGCTAGTGCCCTCAGGCGACATAATGACAGCCCCAGTCACCACAGGCTCATTTTCTGCATCCTGGCCTCTGGAGACACTGACCTATACACATATACACAAGGACACACCACATATACCACACATCCATCACACCCACAGCACACCACATATACACAAAAGAAAAAAGAGCATTACAGTTTTTGTTTGTGATATTTCAACAGACAGCTGATCTCTAGAAAAAGCTTTTCATTGTTGTGTCTCTCCCACTTTTAAATAATCTTTCAAGTAAAAACTCGAAAAATAATGCCCAGCCCTGAATAGCTAGGGATGGACACTCCTGCCACTGTTTGGGTGATGCTATGGACACACATATTGCCCACACCTGGGCACAGACATTTCTGTGCTGGGGCCTTCCAAGGAGAACTACATGCTGGGCATAGAGATGTTGAATGGGACTGGGATTGTCTTCATTCTTCTCTTGGTCACTGCTGTGAACAAGAAAAATCAACACAGATTTAACATTTTATGGTCTTCCTCATTCCATTTCATAACTCTTGAGATCTTAACAACACATTCCAGAGCCTCTCCCAGGAACTCAATGACTTCAGAGACTGAGAATTTAGATAACAAAGGACAATGAACTCTAAACCAAGGCAATAGCAGGTACTTGGCATCTCATTTGATTGATCACTCAATCTCAACTGAAAACCTGAGCCTTCCCCTACCACCACCCAGAGCCCAGCTAATGCCAAAAGCTGTAGGGTGCCTAGCTTCTAAGAAGCTCTGAGAAATATTTGATATTTAAGGTCCAGAAGATCATAACTTCAAAAGAAAGATTTTTAGACTGAAACGCCCACATTTCATCTAAATTTATGGTATGTAATGAAACAGGAAAACTGCTTTGAAAAAAGGCATGTGACTTTTCTTGCTCATATGATCAATATGCAGACAAATCATTTGTAGAGATAATTGGAGGGAGTTCTTTTTATTTTTTTTTTCTTGGATCTCAGCTATATGGACCTGAGTCACTCAACCTCAATCCTAGCCCAGTATGGTTATTCATCCCTGCAAGACTCTCTCATTCTGACTTTTTGTTTAGTTCAGTAAGAAAATCTATGAACTGGGTAAAGTCTTACTAGGGATCCAAGCAGGCTTCGAGCGGAGCCAGCTGTCATCACTAGCTGCCCTCTGACATCTACTGCTGTTTCACAGCATTGGATTCTGCATACACATGCATGCAAACACATGTACACATACATACAGACACCACTGGAGAAGGAGAGTTTAATTTGGTTACTTGTGATTTTTTTAATAGTTATTAAAGTCCTATCACAGCAAATGCTTCCAGTAGGATTGGTCATCAGCCCTATATAGAAGAGTCTCAATTCAAATACAACAGTAACTTCTCACTGGCTCCAAAACACAGCCTTTGGTAGGAGTGGAAGCAAAGCTGTGCCTTCCTTGAGGTTCTTCTTGCTTTCAGAACGGTCCTATGGGCATACAACTTGCATATAGATTGGGTTACTGTTCTATAATAGATAATTTTAAGGCTGGAGGAAAACTGGCTTTGTCCCTCGTTCTCCAATAAGAAGTAAGAAAGGCCCTGTTCCAGGAAAGAAACACTGTTGTTTTTTGCCTGCCCGTATGCTATTTTAAGTAACAGTATATGAAAAATAAAAGACTGGCATCAGCCTACACTTCAGACAGAGGGTCTCTTTGAGACAGACAGTCTTTAGTCTTCACTTCAGACAGAAGGTCTCTAGATGAGGATGCCCCTTCGCTCTAAACAGCATGGTTTTCTCAAAGGAATTAACTGCCTTCGAATCTTTACCCAGCTGAAGTACTAGGGCCTTATAAGTTCCTCTTTTCTAAATTTAGAAAAGCTTGTTTTCTTTCTAAATCACATAACCATTTGGGAATTTTCACAACTGTAACATTATACCACATTCCAGAATAAACAATTAACTTTCCTTTATAAATGAAAATAATTTCATCAATCTTCTGCCTCAATAAAGTTTCAGACAATTAAACAAATGTGTAACTGTTGTAGTTGGCAATTTTTATATTTTTCTTCCTTCTTACAAAAGCAAACATGTTCACTGAAAATATGGACAGGCAAAAAGAACAAAACAGAAATCAGAAGTAATTCTACCTCTTAGATAATTATTGTTGATATATTTTTCCTACTCTTATTTTCTCCTATATGCATTTTAAAGTATTTTTTTTTATTATTTGATGTGTATAAGTATATCCCCTGGAACTTAAGTTACAGATGGCTGTTAGTCACAATGTGGGTGCTGATAACTGAACCTGGGCCCTCTGCAAGAGCAGCCAGTGCTCTTAATGGCTGAGACATCTCTCTAGTCACACATATTTTTTAATAACAAAAAAATTCAGGCTGGGAATATAGCTAAATTAGTGGAATGTTTGCTCAGTATGTTTGAGGCCCTGGATTCAAGGCACAGGAAAAAAAAAAAAAAAAAAAAAAACCCTCTAGGTTTCATTTTCTATGCTACATGATGATTTTTTTACTGAATACATAGTATCATCACTGTACATATTTCACTGGGAAAATACTGACAACACTATTTTAAATATAGAGCATATACAACTACAATGACTTTGTGTGTGTGGGGGGGAGGTTGAACCCAGCCCTGCACATGCTTGGCAAACATTCTACCACTGAATAATATCTACACTCCTTCTTTTTTCTTTTTATTTCAAGACAGAGTCTCATTAAGTTGCCCACACTAGCCTTGAAGTCATTCAACACAAGCCCTGAACCTGTGACGCTCCAATTCAGCTTCCCAAGAAGCTAGGATTATAAGCCTGCATTGCTAGATCCAGTTACGGTGACATTTTTTGAACTTTATTTTAAACCTCATGGCTAATTGCTGGGTTAAACACATCTATTTAACGCTTTTCAGACAACATCGTCTTCAAATGTATTTTACAAACTTGCACATTCACTAGGACTATCTTTCCTAATTATCATTTTCTAGCAATTATGACTGAAAAAAATAGGTGAATTTCAGCTTGACAGGTAAAAAGTTCTCCTGCTGACCTACAAACTGCGACACAATCTGCCATCTCCACGCATTATAGCCACTATTTCCCACCATAACCTGGCATTTCTTCTTCCTCTTCATTCTGCCCCACTATCTCAAAACTAACCCTCCTACTACAGTCCAGGCAACATTAATCTTTTTAAAAAGAAAATAACACATATTAAATAGCTGCATCTCAATATCAGGAACAATAACCTGGGAAAAATACAGGCTTTGGAGCTGAGGAAATAAAGTATCTTCAGCACTGAGAACACAAACTAGGTTTCCTGACTTCCATGTCTGAGCTGTTTCTTCTAGATTAGTTTGCAATATGTTTAGTTGCATTGTTTCGTATTTTTTAAGATAAAAAGAACTTATGTTCCAAGGGTAGTAAGTCATTGTTAGCAGTATCCTATGTTTATCCAGCAACTTCACATAGCCAATCTAATAATCAGAATTACTTGAATTTCTTACCACAGTGACTATTAATTTTAGTTTATAAACAAATATAGTATTGACCAATGTAACCATATCTGTATATATCACTTATCCACTGCCATTTATGGATCATTAGATCTGTTTTCAGGACATCAACTTAATTTTCCCAACATTGGAGAAATCAAATGATGCTAGACTCTATTCCATGTCTTTTGAAGTTATCAGTGGTACTGATTATGGCTTTTGAATAGGCTACTTTATTAATAGTATAAGAGGATTATACAGTCAACAAAACTTTGCTTGCATAAAACATTCAAAAAATACAGATGCGCTCAAACATTTATATTATTTTTCCTATTCTACTGTCACAGAGGCTTAGTATCAAATTAACATATACTCTTGTATTATAAATAGGTTTCTAAGATAATTCAGCCATAGTGAATTATGTGTAAGTGAAATAGCTTGATGTATCAATAGATACAGTATCAATAGATAATTAATAAACTAGAAAGAAAGCATTTAAGCAAGAGTTGAGATATAGCATACTAGATGATGATATTATTAATATAGGCAAGAAGTTCCTTACCCAAGGAAGTGGATGAGAAAAGAGGTTGGTGTGATGGACGGAGAGATGCCAAGAACATTGTAGAGAAGACAGTACCAGTGAGTGTGGAAGCCAAAATGAGAATCATACTGTGGACTCATGCTAGGTTTCTTGTGAGATGACTGGCTGGTTGGTGGGACTGTCTGTACCAGAGAAGGGGAATTTGGAGGAGAAAACAGTGGCTATTTAGAGAGAATTTAGAGGCAAAAGAACAAATGCCTACGGAATACCCAGAATAAAGTACATCAGAAGAGTGAATGTGAGGTCCAAGAGGAAGGTCCGAATTGGGTGACAGGTCCGACATTGCTAAAATGTGTGTCACTGAAACTCACAATGAGAATGTAGACGATGAGAAGCAGTTTAGGATAGATCTCAGAAAAAAAACATAAAGAGCTTAATATTTAAGAAGTAGGCAGAGAAGGAGAAACCTGATGGTGTTTGAGGAAGAAGACCAGAGGAGAGGTGGAAAGCAGTTTCAGGAGTGGCTGCAGTGCTACAAACGAGAAATCAAGTAAAAGGATGACAATTAGCAGGTCCTTGGTGGACTTTCTGTGGCGGCATATTGGAGTCTGTAACCTAGCTTCACAGATTCCCTGTGAATTTGAAGAAGGATACAGTGAAATGGAAGGAGGGCAGGATATGAAAGAGTGAGCCAGAGGGGAGTGAAGGAGGAAAAGTGGAGAGGAAGGGAAAAAGGAAAGGAGGGCAAAAGGGAGTGAAGTAGAGACAGGAGAGTAGAGAGGGAAGGAAGAAAGGAGGGATGGAGGAGAGGGAAAGAGAAAGACAATAAAAAGCCAAAAAGCAAAGGAGAAAGTCAGAGACAGCACAGACTAGCCTAAGGAATAACTTTTAAACAGACAGAAAGAAATAGGATATTAGCAAACGGGATGTGTGTATTGAGAGCACTGGGGATATTTTTCAAATGGGTAAATCTGAAGTCTATTTACTCAAACTCAGGAAAGACTCTTGTGGGAATGGTATAAGAGAGGAGTCAAGTCCTGATCTTGGACCAA